CTCATATATACAATAAATCAAAAAATCAGCCGGGCGTGGTAGCGCATGCCTGTAATTCCGCCTACTTGGAAGGCTGAGGCGGAAGGATCGCCGGAGCCCAGCAGGTCGAGGCTGCGGTGGCCGGGAGCAGCCACTGCGCTCCAGTCTGGGTGACAGAGTGAGACTCCAACTCAAAAAAAAAAAACAACAAAAAAAAGAAAAAAAATCAAAGTGCATCAGTGCATTCAGTGTGCCCTCATCTGTTAAACAACGAAGGACTAGCAAAAGGGATTGCAAAGTCTGGGGTGGAAAGGAGATATGCTTTTTCAGTACAGTTTTTGACCCTAAAAAAAACAACTCCAAGCCGGGCTCGGTGGCTCAGCCTGTAATCTTGCGCTTTGGGAGGCTGAGGTGAGTGGATTGCCTGAGCCCGCAGGTTTGAGACCCGCCTGGGCAACTTGGCGAGACCGCGTCTCTACAATAAATAAAAAAATTATCCGGGCGTGGTAGCATGCGCCTGTAGTTCCAGCTACTTGGAAGGCTGAGGCGGAAGGATCGCCGGAGCCCAGCAGGTCGAGGCTGCGGTGGCTGGGAGCGGCCACTGCACTCCAGTCTGGGCGACAGAGTGAGACTCCAACTCAAAAAAAAAGAAAAACAAAACAAAAAGCAACTCCAAGAATGTAAATGATCTATTCAACAAATATGGTAAAAAAAATTAATATAACTAGCCAAGTGAAAAGCTAAACCCTCAAAAAATATCCCTCAATAATACTGAGCTTCACACAATAGGTCACTTTTTTCTTGCAATTATTGAAACATTTTTACAGGGCAACCCCTTCAGGTCTCCTCTCACTGTGGGAGCTTTTCTGTCCTCTTAATAAATCCTGCTTCTCAAAATAAAATATAAAAAAAAAAAAATTTTAACAAATAGTAGATATATACTTAAAACAAGAAAACTGCCTTAAATGATCAGGCTACAGCTATATCTGTAAGTTTCAATTTTTTTAAAGCTAGGGTCTGACTCTGTCACCAAGGCTGGAGTACAGTGGCACCATCAAGGCGTACTGCAGCCTCCAATTCCTGTGCTCAAGTGATCCTCTTACCTCAGCCTCCAGAGTAGCTGGGACTACAGGCACGCACCACCACACCAACTCATTTAAAAATTTTTTTTGTAGACACGGGTTCTTACTATGTTGTCCAGGCTGGTCTCAAGCAATCTTCCCACCTCAGCCTCCCAAAATATTGGGACTGCAGGTGAGAGCCACCATGCCCAGCCTTATCCAATTTATGAAAACTATTTAAGCAACAAAAATACAACATAGTAACATTAAGGCAGAATTCTGTGGCTATAACTACCTCAAAACTGGAATTTTTATTTATTGATTTTATCTTAGAGTAGGAGTCTCACTGTCGCCCACGCTGGAGTGCAGTGGCACGCTCATGGCCACCACAGCCTCAACCTGCTGGGCTCAGGCCATCCTTCCGCCTCAGTCTCCCAAAGTGCTGGGATTACAGGCATGAGCCACCCTGCCCAGTTAAGACTGGAATTTTATAATTCACTGTTTATAATGTTTCCAGATGGGTTCATTTCCCTGTGCACTTACCATCAATATTAAATCCCTGCCAATGATGAGTTTAAATCTCAACAAACCTGAAAAACCAAATGCTTCAAGTAAACCCGATGCCAAAAAAAGATCCTATGAATTTGCAAGCTGTCTGCCTTTTCACCTCCACCTACCACTCCCTCCTGACGGAAAATTTCAACATACAAATGTTTATGCGTGGCATCTGTTCTGATACAGAACACAGATAACCAGTAGTCATTTGCAACAATATTACAAGAGGTCTCTGACTTACAAAACCACAGTGAATACTCCATGTTTACTGAAACACCAGAATGGTGATTTTAATCCTCAAATGCTATTAATGAAAACGTTTTCTTTAAGTAGCTAGGTCCAGGCCCTGTGTTAGTACTGAAATACAGTGCCCACAAGCAGCTGAAAAAGAAACACAAAGCAGTAAAACTGTGTAATAAGCTCTGGGAATGCAGCAGTTAAGGAAATAAGCTGTGGGAATGCAGCAGGGCAAATTAAGAATGTTTTAGAGCTGGGCTCGGTGGCTCAGCCTGTAATCCCGCGCCTTTGGGAGGCTGAGGTGAGTGGATTGTCTGAGCCCGCAGGTTCGAGACCCGCCTGGGCAGCGAGACCTCATCTCTACAATAAATCAAAAAATCAGCCGGGCGTGGTAGCGCATGCCTGTAATTCCAGCTACTTGGAGGGCTGAGGTGGAAGGATCGCTGGAGCCCAGCAGGTCGAGGCTGCGGTGGCCGGGAGTGGCCACTGCACTCCAGTCTGGGCGACAGAGTGAGACTCCAACTCAAAAAAAAAAAAGAATGTTTCAGAAGATATGGTAAGTCTGGTCTTAAACAAAGTTCATCAGGTGAACAAGAAACAGAAAGTAATCCTGGAGAGAAGGAAAAACTGGCAAGACTCCAAATGGCTTTAAGTACCATGTAATGAAATCTGGATCATATCCTTTGGGCAATAAGAAATCACTGAAGGTTTCTAGGAAGGGAGCGACAACATCATGTGTTAGAAAGAACTCTGGTAGCAGGGCACAGCATGACCTGAACTGAAAAGCTCCTGCATAACTGTGGCAAGAGATGAGGGCTTGCACTAAGGCAGCGAGGATGGAAATGAGGGGAGAGTTGACAAAACAGACAGGTCTTGGAATCACTTGACTGGTTATTAGACACTGAAGAAGTAAAAAATGGCAGAGGTACTAAGTGAAATGCCATGGTTGGGAACACAGAAGGATTGCTTACATTATTAATTTCAATTTAAAAAAAAGTTGTCCAGAGGCGAAAGGATTGCCTGAGCCCAGGGGTCCAAGACAAGCCTGGGCAACTTGGTGAGACCTCATCTCCACAATAAAGCAAAAAATTAGCCAGGTGTGGCGGTGCACACCTGTGGTTCCA